AAATGCTCATGTTGAACTGTAACTGAGATTTTGTGTCAGCCTATTGCTTCCTGTGCTGTCCTGTATTGTTTGAGTCATCACTCAACCCATCAAAGCATTTTTGAATACCGACTCGTGACACCACGAATCGCCCCTGAAGATAAAATTCTATCGTATACTCTCACCAGTGGGGTCCCAGAGCTAGCTGGCCCTACACCAACAGCAGAGGAAAGAAACGAGAGGTGTGACACCTTCGTCTTTAGTATTTGAAATTTACCTTACAGAAAAAATTTATTCCTGTCATCTGAATATATCATATTTTCACCACAAGCGGCGCTCTCTTACCGGCAGTGTTGATTACCCATAACGCATAGCGTTGCGGGAAATTCAAAATGGTCGATGTTGTTTTGAGTCTAAGTTCCCTGACCGCAAGAATTCGATCGTGTGATGAAAACATGCCTTGACATACATTTATAGGGTGTTAAGCTGGTGTCATATTGAGGATGTTGGACACTCGAGCTATCGAAATGTATAGTACTGCATGTAGGCAAGATAAATGACGACCCAAATTATTACCGATTAACTTTATCCGTGGAGTTACGCACAGGCGCTGGGAACGTTTTCTTGGCTAATAAAAAATGACCTAAAGTGGGATCGGCATAGTTAGTCAGTCGCCGGTACATTCCCCTACCACTCATATTATATAATATTATTATATTATTATTATTATTATTATATTATTATATCTCAGTCAATGAATTGAATACAGTCCCGATAAATTGAACATCTTTCCAAGGCCAATTGATGTCGAAAATTGTTTCCATATCCTGGGATTGTCTCTTGATCGAGACATGTATCTTCCGATCTTGCAAATTCTTCGATTTGTTCATTTGTTTATTAAGCGTTTGTATATCTTTTATCTCTTCACAGTTTGACGTTGATTTTGGTGTTGCCATTAACGATGTAACATCATCGGTATCAACTATTATAGGCGTGTATGATCCAACTTGTCCTGATGGTAAGTCTTCATATACCCGGTATTCATGCGAAATACTGTAAATTCCTCCTATACTGCAAGAGAAAAATGCCTCTTGAGTGATGGAAATTATTATTAAACAAATAGGGAAATAATTATATATTCATAACTTGTTTGAAATTAGAAAATGAGATTTTTCAAATCTGGTTACAGTGAAGGGTAGAACACTGAGGTCATTATAAACATTTTGAAATGTATACATTTTTAGAAATCAAAATGGATGTTGGAATTAATTCAAATTGACCAATCCAGAAATGGTATTGTGACATCATGTTAGTTCTAATTAATATTATTAAGTTACTGTAGAATACTTTATTTTCGCTATTTTCGCTGAAGGGATGATTATGTGAAAATAAAATCCAGCGAATATACTTTTTTTTCCTATATTTCACATTAAACTCATCAAAAATCAGTGAAAATAAATTCCATACAAAACTCCCAAAAAGCCTTTTCAGCAAAAATTAATTCCAGCGAAAATAAAGTATTCCACAGTAGTTCAATTTTATCCAATCAGCGAGCACCTCATTTAGAATAAGTGAAGGCATGTACCTGGTACATGCCTAATTGACATAGATAATAGTTAGCTTATGTGTCAATCACTATGCATTGTATGGGACCCTCAGCACGGCTTGAATTTCAGAGTTGAGAGAGCATCCATTTTAAAAGCTGAAATTTTACATGTTTTGTATACGTTGCATTTTCCATGATGTGACATGATGACTTGTGCTTTGAAATTGTTCACTTTGAAAAAGAAACAAGCTTTAGCATTTAAAGCAGGATCGAGGGTCGTCACCTGCACACAGGCAGGAATTGAGTCCCAAGCGACGATAACAACACACGCTAAAAAAACAAAGGCTCATGGGTAGATGCTTGTTTGTAAACATTGACACGCTGTGGCCATCTGATGCATGTGCAGGTGATGACTCTCCCGCATTAAATTTGATCCCCTGAACCTTTTTTAGTAACTTGTGCAAGCTTACAGAATTGTTTTACTGATAATTTTACTCATTCATTGATGTTGTTTTTGTAGGCTGGGAATATCAGATACTAGGAGACAGATGTCTTAAAATATACACTGAAGCTGCATCCTGGCATGACGCTAATGCAGTATGTGGAAGGTAAGTAAGTTAGGATTATGTTACACAGCCTGGATCTGTTTTCCTACTACTGTAAACTCTGTATTAGAGGCCGCGGCTTATATTAAAATGGTACAATGCAACAGATGGGATGCGGCTTCTATTAGAGCCTCTATGTATACCGGGGTATGACAAATGATGAATTTTGGGTTCTCAATATTAAAAACAAATGAATGCAACTTCTATTAGGGATGCGGCTTGTAATACAGATTTTACGGTACTTACTTCTACTTACATGGCTTTGACTTCATCATTGTGTGTTTGGCACACTCACACAGGGTACAGTGGCCTTTGTCTTCTGATTGCATCTGTGTCACACTTACTCTAGGGTACGGTCTTTAAGCTTTCCAAAACATGCCTCTTTTCTCATTTTTTATATAGCCATGGAGGATCATTAGTGATGGTTCAAGGATTCACGGCCAATTTGGAGGTTGGAGTGATGGCTTTCACAACACTTGGTTATGGCAACTCTATGTGGATTGGTAAGTGTTTTATAAAAGAAATATTTTACTGAAATATGTTGGAATATAGTCATCTTTAAATATCTAAATGACACAAGTCATTGAAATAACACAGTTCCCATTAAGTTCTCTTTGTGCTCGTCATATTAAGCGGAGGAGTTGTCGCGAGCGTGTCCTTGAACTTGAGTT